TCGGGCCCTACAGAAGTCGTGCACCCAGAGTAAGCAGTCTCTCAGTGACCTTGCCGTCCTGGCCTGAGTCACGTGGCTACCTTCCCACAGCCTCCTGCCACGGACACAGCGCTCCCAGCCTCATGCCCACGGTGGCACTCCACCTGCCCCTGTGCACCCCCACATCAGCTGCAACTCTCCTGTGCACCAAAGCTTTGTTCCCTGAAGCTCCCTCAGTGTGGACACCCTGTGTTCCAGATCTCATTTCCCCAGCCGTGTCTTGATCCCGGAGGTCTGCTTGCTGCCTTCCAGCAACTGTGGGATAGCTCTGACTCAGGCAACCAAGAGAACTTTGCCGTTTCCTGAACAGTACCTACCCTATCTTCTCTAACAATATCTGGGCCCCAGACTGGAGGAGGGCTCCCTTCCAGGTTTGTCTTCCCACCCTGCTTTGGCCCTAAGATACTCTGGAGTTCTATTCACATTTTTTAAAGATACTCTCTTATAGCCAAATAATTCTTTATATTAAAGTTTCCCTTTTAAAATTACTGTGTGGTTTCTGTCTTCCGATTGGACCCAAACTGATACATTAGTTGAAGGTCGTTGAGTTTTTTCCAGATATTGATGATGTGAATAGAACTGCTATAAACATTCATGTGCAGGATTGTATGTGTGTGAGGTAAGTTTTTATTTCTCTGGGGTAGATTTTCTAAGAATGGCTTTTCTGGGGTATATAGTTAAGTGGATATTTCACGTTATAAGGAATTGTTAAGCTGTTTTGCAGAGTGACTGGACCATTTTTCATTCCCGCCAGGAGTGCATGAGAGTTCCGGTTGCTCCACATCATCACCTGCATTTGGTATTGTCAGATTTATTTATTCTTTCTTTCTCTTTTTCTTGTTTTTTTTTTAGCCAATTTAATTTGTCATTTTATTTTGCATTTTCCTAATGGATGATGTTGTACATCTTTTCGTGTGCTTATTTGCCATCTGTGCATCCTTTTCAGTGAATCGTCTATTTAAGTTTTGTGCTCCTTTATTAATTGAGTAGTTTGCATTTTTATTATTGCATTTAGAGAGATCTTTATACATTCTAGATCCAAGTCCTTTGGTGGATATGTGATTTTACAAATATTTCCTACCAGTTTAAAGCTTGTGTTCTCAGTCTTTTAATAGCATTTTTCTCAAAACAAAAGTTCTTAATTTTGTTGAAGTCCAATTTATCCATCTTTTTCTTATAGATCATCTTTTGGTTTCATATCTAAGAACTCTTTGCCTAATCTCAGGTCATGTTTTCTTCTAAACATTTTAGAGGTTTAGGTTTTACATTTAGTTGTATGGTCCATTTTGAGTTAATGTTTGCATAAGGTATAAAGTTCATCTTATTGCATATAAGTATGTCTAATTACCCAACACCATTTGTTTAAAACTCTATCTTTCATCACTGAATTACCTAGGAAACTTTATCAAGAATCAACGGGCCACATTTGTGTGGGTGTATTTTTGCACCTTTGATTCTGTTCCATTGATCTATTACTTTGCCAATATCACACTGTCTTCATTGCTGTAACTCTATATCCATACATAAAATTGAATAATGTAACTCCTCCAACTTTCTTTTTCAAATTGCTTTGGTTATTCTAGATCATTTTCCCTTCCATATAGTTTTATAATGTTTGCCTGGATCTATAAAAAATCTTGCTTGGATATTGATTGAAATTTTGTTAAACTTCTAAATCAATTTGGGGAGAATTGCAGATTTGAGAATATGTTGAATTTTTATGTCAATGAACAGGCTCTGCCTCTACATTTATTTAATTATTCTTTGATTTATTTCATAAGTATTTTGTAGTTTTCAGTGTATGGAACATCTGCATGTTCTGTTGATGTATCCCTAAGTAATTCTTTTTTGGAGGGAACTATTGTAAATGATAATGCTTTTTAATTTTTGGTTTTGAATTGTTCGTTGCTAGAGGTAGAAATGTATTTGATTTTTGCATGTTAATCTTGTATGCTGGGATCTTGCTAAACTCACCTTTTAGTCCTAGGATTTTTTTTTTTTTTGTAGCTTTCTTTCTACACAGAAAATCATGTGTCAAAAATAAGGACAATTTTATCTCTTCCTTTCCAAACTGTATGTACTTTATTTCTTTTTCTTGCATTATTGCACTGGTAGAGACTTTCAGTACAAGCTTGAATAGGTTCTGAGAGCAAACAGCCTTGCTTTTTTCCCAATGTTGTGAAGAAAGCAAACAGTGTGTCACGATCAAGGATGATTTTAACTATAGTTTTTTTAAACTATGGTGAGAAAGTTTGTTGAGAATTTTTATGATGAATGGGTGGTAAATTTTGTCAGATGCTCTTTTGGAATTGGTTGATATGATTATGTGGATTTTCTTCTTCAGAACGTTAATATGGAGGGTTATATTGTAAGATTTTTGAATATTAAACCAGTTTTGCATACCTAGCATATACCTAGGATACATTGGCTATGGTTTATTGTTGTAATTATGTATTGTTGGTTTCAATTTGCTAATATTTTCTTGAATATTTTTTATGTCAGTGTTCATAAAGAATTTTTGTTGGTAATTTTCTAATGCTTTGTTTGGTTTTGGTATTAGGAAGGCTCTGACCACATAAAATAACTTTGGAAACGTTCCCTCATCTTCTGTTTTCTGAAAGAAATTGTGTAAAATTGGTGGAGAGTTTTTTCCTCTTTAAATGTTTGGTAGAATTAGGAAGTGAAAACATCTGGTTCTGGAGATTTTGCTTTTGGAAATTTTAAACTAGAAATTCAATTAATTTAATAGTTATGTGCAATTCAGTTTTTCTATTTCATCTTGGATATGTTTTGATAGCTTGTGTTTTTTTTGTTTTGTTTTGTTTTTTTTAGAATTTGTTCATTTCATTTAGGTTGCCCAATATGTGTCCATATAGTTATCCATAGTATTCTCTTCTTAATCCCTTAAGATGTGCAGGGTCTGTAGTGTTACCATTTATTTCATTCTTGATTTTGATAATTTTTTTTAATATCCTTACATTTTTTTATTATGTTATGTTAATCACCATACATTACATCATTAGCTTTTGATGTAGTGATCCATGATTCATTGTTTGCATATAATACTCAGTGCTCCATGCAGTACGTGCCCTCCTTAATACCCATCACCAGGCTAACCCATCCTCCCACCCCCTTCCCCTCTAGAACCCTCAGTTTGTTTCTCAGAGTCCATCGTCTCTCATGGTTCGTCTCCCCCTCCGATTTCCCCCCCTTCATTCTTCCCCTCCTGCT